GGGGGGGGGGGGGGGGGGGTAGCCCCACTGCAAAGGTCAAGAATAATTATGCCCAGAGTTTTTGTTTGAAGGACTATGGCACTTTGGTGTATATGTTAAATATTTTCTTCTTTAAGTGCTATAAGGAATAACATTTCTGAAATGCAAAACTTACCAAGTACTTAGAGCTACATGTAATCTAGGTCTCTGCTCTCATTCTTACCCACCCTTAATCTGGTCATACACATGGCAACTTCAACCACTTTAAAAGTACTGGTAAAAAGTACTGTCAGTAATTAATGAAATTAGTTGGCAACCCTAATCTGTGCTGGGCCAGCTCACTTTCCACAACATTTAAAAATTTTGAAAATACCATTACCTGTGGATTAACATCCAATATACACGTGCGGCCGGCCATTACTACTTCAAGGATTGAGTCTATTTTTGTGCCATAGAGATTCCCTTCATATTCTCCATGTTCCAAGTACCTTCCAGCTTTTATATCCCCTTCCATTTCCGATCTGCAGACAAATCTGTATGCATGCCCATCTTTTTCATCTTCTCTTGGCTTGCGTGAAGTGACTGCATAAGGTTGAGAAAGGGATAGCTGTTCACTGCATGTGCTCATCATACTCCAAAAGCCAAAATTAAGTTAAAAAAGAAGCAAACAATTTTGAGCATTGTGTTCTTCATAAATACTGGCACTTCATCAACCAACCTGGGTTCAGTAAACTAAAAGCAATGGCTCCCCAACATTCAGGAAGTTAAAAGAATCATTCTACGCATAACGTAATCATTTTTGAAGTGTCTAGGGTTCCCACTACACGATTCTCTACACTTCCAGGATTTTTTCTATAACCAGAAGAAAGGGAAAGTACGGGTGTTGACTGCAGCAGCCACTCTGAATTTCACTTTGTGACTTACCTTTGAGAAAAGGCTGAGATTTAAATTGTCCTTACAAGTCTTTACGTTTCCATTTAAAGCAGCCACAAAATATTGCCATGGAAACTGGAACGAACAGGAGCGCATTTAAAACCTGTCCTGTGTGTTGGGACTGTGTCAGGGACTTTGGTAAACTCACTGGTGGTTCAGCATTTTCACATTACGGTTTAGATCACCAAAACCATTTACACAGTCATTAGCAAGGCAGTCCGTCTAGGAACAGCGCACGTGTGGCAGCGAACACGTGCTGCAAATGGATAGAAAAGCCAGACCGATGGCTGTTTCATTTAGTGCTTTGGCGTTAGAGGAAGATCTCCAAGTAAACACTTGTTTTACCAAAGGAGTGATGTAATTGGGTAATGCCAAGGCCAAACGGCTGGTGGAATCAATGAAGAGGCTGACGTTATCAGTTTTTCACAAAAATGAGCTACCAGGGTCTTTCCTCTAGCTCTATCAGTTAATTTATAGAATTCTAGAGTAATGTTAATCTCAAATAGAGGGATATAAAAATATTGAGGGGAATTCATCGAAACGGGAGCAGACAGAATCTGGAGCAGATGCCCATAGTAACCAATCCGCTTACATCTTTATCAAAGCTTGAAAAAACTGAAGAGAGAAGATGATTGGTTGCCATGGGTAACTGCTCCAGATTCTGCCTGCTCCAGTTTTGACTTTCCCTCATTAGCTTTTGGTTTAAAATAGATTTATTAATTCATCGAAATTAAATAATTGGGAAAGACGCATGATGGGATCTTTTTTCTGGCATCTCCTTGGCACAAGTATAAAGCTGGGCATAAGCGGAATTATCTTTTGTCTAATAAAACAAAATAGACAACATTTGGCCGTTCTCCAGACAATCTCAAAGAACCATATAGACCGTCTACTCCAACTGGCGTAATTGATTTTTCATCACGGGGTTTCCAGGATAGGTTTCAGATTTCATTTATTAATTTTACTGTCATACTCTGGTTCAGTGGGAAGCCGGTTAAACGTTTTTCAGCAATACTTCATTCCCAATTCCGCCCCCCCCCGCCCCCCTCCTCCCTGTTTAGAAGACTATTTGCCTTTACTTACTACAAACAAAAAATATTTGATGCAAACCTTATCTAAATGACAAGTAGTTTGCTAAAGCAGTGTCTCAGAAATAACTGTTATATTTTTTAACAAATTAATACTTGTTTCCCTTTCCCCATTTTTGTTTTTCATTTATTGTTGCAGCTTAGTACTGCTAATTTCCTGTAACCTCTTTGCACCCGCTTCAGTGATGGCTGTGTGGCATTTAGCTGATGTTGCATTCTAATGACTGCGGGTTTACTGACAGTGACAACTGTACTGTTGCTTTTTGTTTTTGAACTGTGTAAAGCCGTTCCATGTGCACCTTGCTGTGAAGCCAATTATGAATTGATGAGTGCGTTTGCTATTGGAGATATTGGCAACTTGTAGTTTCCATGTGTCAGGGTGACCATGGAGAAGCACAATTAGGAGCCAGGGACAGAGCATTATCACAGTGGTTCACCAGCACACACAAAGGAAGATTCCAATATGAATATCTCATTGGTATGTTTATTTGTGAAATGTCACGTCATGTCATCAGAAGCTAACGTTTTGGGACCTCGCAGGGACCCTTCATCAGAGCAACATGTAGTATATTAGGATTGAAGTAGATATATTAGGGGTATATTTTGGGTGTATGCTTATGTAGTGCAGAGAATTATTTTGGCTGATAATATTTAACACACCTATGCTAACTAGGTTTTTATTGTGTAAGTTTATTGACCAGCTGACCATCCTGTTTTCTTGATTGTACACAATGGAACAGCTGTATGGAATTTGTTCAAAACCTGTTTAGTTAACTAACATCAAAGGGGTAATAAGACCAGCCAATCAGAAATCCTTTCAGTGTTAGTGAATGGCACTAAACTGTATATGAATTCAGAACCTAAAGTGGCTAAAAGGTTCAGAGTCATAAAGGGAGAGGCATAGGTGCATATATAGAGATTGGAAAAATATGCTGGGTAGATAGAGTGGGTCCTTATGGAACGTTTGTCATCTGAAGCCTAGATATTTTATTTTGATTAATACTGTCGGACTGTTTCTGTTCATCTGTTTCTTCGATCCAATTAAACGCTACTCTCTGTAAAAGAATTGAGGTTGTCTGGATATTTTCTGAAGATCCAACTTTCACAACGCACTTAAATATAAATATATATTTGGGTATTTATATATTTATATACCCGCGATATTATATCACTACACAACATAGCGGCTGATGAAGCGTCCCTGCGAGGTCCCGAAACCTTAGCTTCTGGCGACATGACGTGACAGTCTTCAAATAAACATCAACGAGAGGAGGTGCGGGGGGGGTGCGGCATTGGACCGAACGCCCGACAGTATCAGGAGAGAGGAGGGGACCAGGCGGCATACCTTATCCCGCTGGGTGACTGTCCCCTCCTCTCTCTGCCGGCGTCCATCACTAAGATGGCCGCCGGCAGGTATCAGAATACTGCCGTGCGTGATGACGTCATTGCGCACGTGCGTGGTGACGTCACGCGCATGCGCAGTGACATCTCGGCGGGGTGACACTCGGTTACCGCTCCGGG